CGACGCAGCCCGTCAGCGTGCTCGGCCCCGGGAGGTTGGGGGGCCAGATCCTGATCGTGGGCCCCTGGGCGAGGCACCGTCGGCACTGCTGCAGATTCACCCCGCAGCACCCCGGGCTCTGTGCGAGGCGAGGTGCCCCTGGCCAGGGGAGGCCCGGCTCTGCCTTCTGGGTGCTCACACGCCAAAGCGGGGAGCAAACGGCAGGGAAGTGGGCAGCCGGGCTGCCCGCAGGGAAGATTCCCCCCAATTACCATTTTCTGAGCCTGCGGGCTGGCCTCAGGTGCTGTGAAGCTGCTTCCCTGAAGCCGTTTGCTTCGGGCACCGGGAAGCATATTGATCATAGTTCCATCTCTGGCCGCGGCGGCCCGCGGGCAAACGCGCTCTGCTGTCGTTTCAGAGGAAAAGGGGAACGAGGCGAGCCCCAGGCGGTGCGCCCCGTTTTCTGGGTGAGACCCCCCCCCGGCACGGGGCAGGGGTGCAGCCCGCGCTGCCGCCCTCCCCGAAGGCACCGGCCACACCGCCCGGCGGGCGGAGGGGGCTGCACCGAGAAGCGCTCGAGCTGCCTTTCTGAGGATCCCCTCTCCAGCACCACATACCCCCCCGCCCTGGGGGCACTGCCTTCTTCGGCCTGGAGAAGCCTGCTTTTGCCTTTGTTTTTAAAAATAAAACTTCCTTTGCAGAGTGTAGGAAGGTGATTTCAAAATAAAATTCCAGACAGGCACAATAAGCCTCAGAAAAGCCAATCACACAGAGGAGGATAATTATCCACAGACTTTGTTTTCTATATATTTATATAAAATAATCAATGATTTTTTTCTCCACAGACTCCAATCCAATTTGATTGTCTTTTCTGTGTTACTTGCAAATCATACAAACAGCCGATGCCCTGACCCCTTCTCTATGCAAATACAGCTTAGAAAGAGACTACAAGAAATAAAATCCAATAAATTCCTCAATGCAGGACTGTTTGTTTAAAAGCTTATCTGGAGCCCGATCCTGTTCAGAGAGACTTCAGTGATACAAGAGTGGGACTTTGAAACATGCTTGAGGTATAATTATTGCCACAAATATCAGCAGGAATACAGCCTTAGTAAAAACACCCCGAACGAAAGCAAGAACCCAGAGGTGAAGGCGATTCCTTTGAAAATGTAGAGAGCAAACTGAAGTCCCTCGCAGGCACGGCGCACCTCTCCCGCAGAGGAAGGGCAAGGCGAGCGTGCCACCGGGGTCTGGGGGGGGCGCGAGCGCAGGGTGGGCTGGGGACCTGCCTGTCACCCCCCGCCCGCAGAGGGGGTGGCAGAGGGGGTGGCGGGCGTCACTGCTGCTGCCACCGGGCCGGGGCGGCCGAGGGAAGCGATGGCAGCGGGGCTGCACAGTTTTGGTGTCACCTCCTCAGCAGCACTTGAATACAAACAAAACCACTAATCAACAAATGCAAGTGCTAAAATGGGATCGACGGCACCTGTGGTCTATTTTTTACAATTACTTATTAATCTCAAACTGTTGGCATCCATCTGATCTGCACGTATATCTTGCTAACACATCATCCATCAGAATAATCACTGTGAGTAATTTCTGATGATGCCTCCGCAAAGCACGGCAACTGAAACTGGTCTGCTAAGAAGCACCAGTCCTTCAGGCTCCACGTGTGACACCGTTCCCAGTCATCCCGCCTCGCTTTGTTAGGGCCAGTGCCATCAGACTCTACAAAATGGCATCAGGCTCTTGTCTGACACTTTGAAGGGGTGCTACTACTGCTTTTTAATCTAAGAGAAAGGTTAGATAAATAGGCTATCTACGGTAGCTTAATCATCTTGCACTCACTGCTTTTACTATATGCGGGGCATGATATTGCAAATACTCAGCTGCTCAGTGCAGCACTTAATAACAGGTATAATCTCACTGATCTCATCCGCAGTCAGGGCTGGCAGCATCACAGGCTGCCTCTCAGTCACAGTGGTGTAAACACGGAGTAACTCCACTCGCACCGTTACCGTTATCTGTCTTTCTAGCAGAATAACTCGGAGCTGAATTGAGCACCTAGAGTGTGCGGCAGATCTAGACAGCGTTTTCTGATACAGCATTTTCAAATATTTAACAGGTTGTACAATAATTGAACAGGTGTTGAATAAACTTCAGATACAAACTCCTACTTAATAAAAAAATCCAGTAATGAGGCACAGATTTTCTTTGTACATGTATAGATTATGTTTAGATGTGTAGATTAAATATTTATATTTTACTTGTGAGAGAAAGAGTGCTTTTGGCTTTTCCTTCCCTTTCTTAGCTATCTCTCCCTGTATTTATTTTAATAGTCAGCTTCATAGGGAAAAAAAGAGAGCTTTGGAAAGTTACCTGTTTTCTCTCTGGTTTGATTTTCAGTTCTAAAACAATACTTATTTAAGTGTTCTCCACTTCTTGGCATAACCTAATAATTAAAATAATTACTTGAAAGCCATGGCAGCTTTGCACAAATTAATGCAGGGGGGAAAATGATGCCAGGTTTAGCTGAGAGTGAAGGTAAACACAGATTTCCCTGCAGCCCCACTTAAATCTTTTTTCTGATCTTTAAGTTTCTTATTTTACTGATCAAGGAAAAGGCTAAATGAGGCGCTGGATGTTCAGGTATTTCTCAGCAATTAAAGCCAGGCCGTTCCTGCGGAAGGCACCGCGGTGCTGGCAGAGGCGGCGCACAGCAACGCTCCCACGGCGGGCAGCCCTGCCTGCCTCCCTGCCTGCCTGCCGGCTTCCCTGCTTCCCCCCCTGCCTCCCTGCTTCCCCCCCTGCCTCCCTGCCTCCCCCCCTGCCTCCCTGCCTGCTTCTCTGCCTCCCTGCCTCCCCCCCTGCCTCCCTGCTTCCCCCCCTGCCTCCCTGCCTGCTTCCCTGCCTCCCTGCCCACCTCCCTGCTTCCCCCCCTGCTTCCCTGCCTCCCCCCCTGCCTCCCTGCTTCCCTCCCTGCTTCCCCCCCTGCCTCCCTGCCTGCCTCCCCCCCTGCTTCCCTGCTTCCCCCCCTGCTTCCCCCCCTGCTTCCCCCCCTGCCTCCCTGCCCACCCCCCTGCCTCTCTCCCTGCCCACCTCCCTCCCTCCCTGCCTGCCCACCTCCCTGCCCACCGCCTCGCTGTGTCTGCACCAGCCCAGCACGAGTGTCCCCCCTCGCCCAGCTCCAGGGCAGCCTCCCAGCCGGGCGGGGGGGCTCCAGGGGAGGGGAGCAGAGCTACAGCAGCCCCGAGTGCTCTCGGTGACAGGCTGCCAGCAGTTTCTGGGTTGAAAGCTCTTCCGTCCTTCTGTGCGACTGCTTTGAGCCCTGTCTAGAAAATCCATTGTCAGGACAACCTGGACTTGAGACTAAACATCCCCCCAGAGCCACGGGGATACTCCTGGGTCTGAGCGTCTCCCACGAGCCACGCTGCTATCCCCAGGGGGTCTCGGCGCCCACCCGCCCTAGGGACCTCGGCCGGTTCCCTGCGAGCCCCAGCTTGCGCAGCAGCCGCCCCTCGCACGCCGCCTCCGGAGCACCAGCCCGGCAGCACGGAGGCTCTGGCCGCCGAGGATCAGGCCCGCTGCTGCCCAGCCGAAAGCCGGGCGAGCTGCGAGCCCGGCACCCCCCCCTGCGACAGGGCCCCCCCCCCTGCGACAGACAGGGCCCCCCCCCTGCGACAGGGCCCCCCCCCTGCGACAGGGCCCCCCCGCACACGGCTCCCGGTCCCGCCGGGGACCTGCGCCCTGGGACCCGCCGGGAAGAGAAAAGGCCACGGCGGTGCTGCCGGGGGGGACAGGCGGTGATAGACGGGGGGGCTCTGCCACCACACACGGGACACCTCCTCCCTGCTCGCGCGGTGGGACCGGTGAGACCCAGCGTGCCCCGTCCGTGGGACCGGGAGCTTCCCGGGGAGGGGGCTTCTGCCGCACAGAACATCTCCCGCAGGTCCAGGCTGTGGCTGAGCAGAGCGAGCAGCCTGGCTCTAGTGAAAGTTCAGCAGCCGGGGCCCAGGCCGCAGAGGCAGGTCCGTGATTAACCTTTCCCACCGACATTTCTGGCACCACGACACGCACAGGACCACGGCTGCCTCGAGTGCCGTGTTCGCAAAGCGCAGGGGAGAGCAGATGTTCACCCTGCAGGAACCCAGCCCGTGTCCGTGAGACGATCGGGGCCGTGCAGTCGCTCGACACCGTGCTGGAGGTGACAGGGTTTCACTTCACAAAGCCGCTGTCCCTCAGGAGCAGCGGTTTTGTCTTACTGGCTTTCACATTGCTGCTGTGCAGTTGCACTGAGATTAAATATACCTATTTTTTTCCACTTTGAAATATTCACAAATCTATTCAGTTTTCACTAGTTTCTCTGGGTTAGAATTTGGTCCCTGAAAAGACAGGTAAACCTGTCCTTCTAATTCTTACTGGGCAGACAGCAAATCCCGGGGAATGTGTACCGATGGCAAAGTACATGGGATGTAACAGAAAATCAGTGCCGTTCCTTATATGACACGCATAAAACAAGTATCTCGTTTAATTAGAAAAAGAAAGATCGTAGACTCTTTCCCAAGCTGCTATCTGTGCAATTACTTTATGTAACATTATTAAAAATTAATTTTCCCCAGAACCACAGCAATTTAATGAAACACGCCCGGCCCTCGGCAGCAGCCGGGGCGTGGGCAGCGGGGCCGGGAGCCGCAGCCCCCCCCGGGCTGCCTGTCCCTTCTGCCGGGCACCCCCGGCCCGGGGCCGCAGCACCGCACCCCTAGGGCGGCAGGCTCAGCACCCCAGCTCGCAGCGGCTCAGCACCTCCCCCGGCGCCGGGCACCGCCGCCCGGCTCGCAGCAGCCTCCGCACCCCCCTGCGGGGGCTCAGCACCCCCCTCTCCGCTCTGCACCGTGCCCAGCACCCCCAGTGCACCCCGCCCAGGGCGGCCGCCCGCACCCGGCGCTCCCCCCGCGGCAGGTCCCTCCGTGCCCCGGTCCCCGCGCCCCAACTTCGCCCGGCCCCGCGGGGAGAGGCGGCCTTACCGATCCGGATGACATGCGGCATCCCGTGCGAGCACTGGCCCCAGAGGCCGCCGACCAGGAGCGCTGCCCAGTATTCCCAGAGCACGCCGCGGAGGGCCGGCCAGAGATGGGGCATCGTTGGGGAGGGCGCGGGCCGGCGCGGCCCTACGGCCCCAGGGGCAGCGGGGGAGCGGGCGGCTGCTGCCCGGGGCTCAGGCGGAGCGGCCGGTCGGCGCCGAGGCCGGACCGCTCATGGCACATCTTAGTGCGGCCGCGCCGGCCCGTCCCGCGGCAGCCGCGCCGTGCCGAGCCGTGCCGAGCCGCGCAGATCCGCGCCGAGCCGTGCCGAGCCGCGCAGATCCGCGCCGAGCCGCGCCGAGCCGCGCAGATCCGCGCCGAGCTGTGCAGATCCGCGCCGAGCCGTGCAGATCCGAGCCGAGCCGTGCAGATCGAGCCGAGCCGATGCGCTCCGTGCCGTGCCGAGCCGTGCCGGGCCGGGCCGGGCCGGGCCGGGCCGTGCGGTGCCGGTGCCGGTCGGGCGGCACCTGCGGAGCCGGGGCTGCCGGTGCGCCCGCAGGAGCGGCTCTGTCCCCTCCTACCACTGATGCGCGCGGCTCGCGCAAAGCCCCGGAATGGAGCGTGCACACACTCACACACACTCACACACACTCACACACACGCATGCACCCCCCCCACGCACCCCCCGACACGCACCGACACCGACACGCACCGGCCCCGACCCCGACCCGCCGGCTCCCGCCCGCTCCCCCGGGGCGAGGGCAGCGCCGTGGGCGGGCGCGGGGCAGGAGGCGGCCGGGGACCCTCGGCGGGGCGGGGGGGCGGCGGCTGCACCGGCCGCTCCGGCAGCCCCGGGGGGGCCCGGCGTCCCTCTGCCCCCGACGGGCCCCTGTCCCGCGGATGCCGGCGTGCCCGGTGTCCCCCGAGGTCCCGGGGGTCCCGCTGTCCCCTATGTCCCCTGTGTCCCCGACGGCCCCGCCGCCGGGCGCCGGGCGAGGAGGGGCGGCATCGCTGGGGCCGGGCCCGGCCGCTGCGGGGGCGGCTACCGGGGCCCGGGGGCCGGTGGCCGGGGCCGCTGGAGTGGCCGTACCCGCGAGCGGGCGCCCAGCCCGGGCTCCGCAGCCGGGAGTTTAATGACCTCGGTGACAGAGACAAAGGGCTGCACATGCAGCAGATAAGTAGGCTGCTTTGTCAACTTGCTGGGCTAGGCTAGGGCGAATTTATTTTTTCTCATTTAAATAATTTGATCTATTCCATCATTTCCAATCGCTCCCATTTGCCAGCTGTCTGCTAACTACATCGCCTGGAACATCTGAAGAGCAAATCTTTAATTTTCTTACAAACATACTATTACTCCGTATCTGTTCATCTTTTTAATTTTCCTTGGCCGTCGCTTTCCCCAGCAGCAAGCTCGGCATGCGCGGCGCTGCCAGAAAAGCTGATCGCGGTCCTGCGCTCGAGCGACCCGTCCCAGATCAGCCTCGTGTGTGAGCTGGAGGAGGGGACACACGCAAATCATCACCGGTCTAAAACGCAAAGCAAAGCTCCAGGGTGTAGCGCCCGAGCGCAGCCAGCCAGCACGCTGCCTGCTGCAGCGGGGCAGCCCCGCCGGGGGGGATCCCCTGCGCGCCCATCGCTGGGGCGTCAGGTCTCTGGCTGTTTCGGTACAGCGGGAGCGGTGGGGGGCTGGCCGGGGTGTCTGATAGCTGTCGTCATCACGGAATGGTAAGGAGAAGCTGGAAGAGGCTCCGGGGGACCTGCACGCCCATGGCAGGACCGGCCCCTCCTGGAGATGCTGCTGTAACTCCACAGCCCGCCGTGGTGCCCCCCCAGTGCCGTGGTCTGACCGGTGCTTCTCCTGGGGCGGTGGGAAGGGACCCCCGAGCACGGCCGGGGCTCTCAGCATCGTGTCATGGTGGAGGAGACTTTTTCTTACTCCTACCTGAGTCAAGCCAGAGAGGCAAAGGCGCTACTCAGCACCTTCGAAGCGCTGTGCAGGAGCTCGATCTCAGGGATCGGTGGTTACTGTTTATTGTGGGCAGGCTGAGGCTCCAGCTTCCAGCAGGAAATCTTCTTACCAGTGTCAAAGACAGTTATAGAAAAGGCTGTCTCATGTTAAGGATATTTTTATCCCTTATGACACCAAAAAGGATGAGATTTAGCAAAAGGGCGTGGAAGAAATTTTCTTTACTTATTGCTTAAATGAAGGACAGCTGTTTCTGTGAACTTTATATAAAATTAAATGTCACAACGTGGTGAATCTTTGCATCCGGAGTTTAAAAAGCCCCACAAACCTATGGGGAGGGAGAGGGTAGTGAGGGCTGTTTCATCTGCGGCTGTTCTTTACCCTTAGCAGACTCCAGCATGTAAAGGTTTGATTTTCAGTAACTGAGGACAAGAGGTTCAGATTTTGTGGAATGTTTAAATTCAAATGTAGCTAGAATGATATATTCCGTTAGTTCATTAGTATCAAGATACTGCTGCTTGCCTTTTTGCTGGCACCAAGTACTAATAAGTGCTCTAACCTTTGCTTCAGCCTCTAGATCCTACTGCAGTACCAGCACAAATAGTTTATTTCTTCTTATCTTACTTGACCAGTATCCGATGAGTGTATGAAGGTCATGAATAGTCCTCATCGTGTATGTAGGTCAGAGAAGAAAGTCTGCGTAGCTCAGAAAGGAGCGATCATTTATCAGAAGTTAGATGGCAAACCAAACCAGCTGTGCCTGGGCAGCAGGCAGAGGTGCTCCCTAGCTGCAGGTCTCCTTGCTCGTGGCCTGTGCTGCCCCAAGCAATCCGTGCAGCAGATCAGCAGATCACGGCTGTTCTTTTTCCTGAATATTCCTGCGTTTGGCCCCAGCCCTTGCCGGTGGCTTGGCAGGGCTCCGCTCTCCTGGCAGCCTGCTGCTGCCCTCCAAGGGGATCCCAGGGCTGCTCAGTGTCGTTATTAAAAAGAGGGTATTTTTGAAACTCCTCTTAGTTGTTGCACCACAGTCACCTTATGTTCCCCCCACCAAAGCCCCTCTGCCTTTGTCCGTTACCTGGGGCTGCACCGGGGCCCACACCTGCGAGCAATGACCTGTGGCCATTAGGCCAAGCTCTCCATCAGCTGTGGAGCGAGGTCGTTAGCATATAATTATAGCAAAGACAAAGCAGCTGGGCAGAAAGGGCTGTGTCTGTGGCAGTGCCAGAGCAGCGAGCAGGCCCAGGGCTCTGGCTTGGTGCTGCTGTGGGGGTAAGTGCTGCCTGGGCTCGGTATGGGGAGGGGGCATTTACAGTGGGGTGCGGTGGGGCTTTGGGGCTGTTGCCTTGCTGAAGGACGAGCAAAGGGTCCAGAGGGGCTTTGGTGTTTTCCTATGATTTGCTACAGCGATGCTAAAAATATAAGGTGTTTGCCCAGTTCACAACCACTGTGAAAATGGCTTTCATGTGGTAATTCATCATTTCTTTTATACCAATTAGTGCAAATTCTCTGCTGTATTTATAACTTATGAACACTGTGTACCATTTAGAAGAAGTCGTTTGCTTATTCCTAGTTTGTTAGGAGGATATCTGGATGTCAGATTTTCATGCTGCCTTTTTTACAATGAATACACGTGGTATTTAGAGCTTCATTTATTACACAGGTAGGACTCTGATGATCGTGTACGTTTTATGGGTTTTTTTCTATATGTAAAAATCTCAGTTCTCTCTCCTACAAATAAAGCAGTAGATTTATGGGTATTCTAAAGATTATGGATGTAAGACTTTATTTTCAAGTATGAAAAGGAACTGCTTGCAAAAGTGGAAAAAAATGTTGAAATTATTAATATCTAGGGAAAAATGCTGATTGACAAAGGACCCTTTCAGTTAAGATTCATGCTTCAGAGCAGCAGCAGAAGTACAAACCTTGCAGAAAGAGGCATAAGCATTTCTATAGCTATGGTGTTTTTCCATATTAACGAAGAAAAAGAGGCTTCTCTTTATTTTTTTTTAATGGTATCTAAACTGGTTCATTTGAATTAGCTACATCCACATGCATTTTGTTTAGATTTATATGCATCAGGTGTAATATAACTACAATCAATGTGAGTTATGAGGCCCAGGGCTCACATTACCAAGATTCATGTGCTGAAGTCGTCTCCTAAAATACCAGAGAGTAAATATACCGGGGCTGGCAAATGCAGATTTCTGGGACTTGAGTGCCCTCTACTGAAACAGTCCCAGCTAGCCCTTAACTTTGACACCCAGCAGCTTGATTGATGGCTTGGATAAATGAAATTTAAGCCTGTGGTTCACGGGTTCACCCATTATGAAGAATCCCTCCTTTCTTTCCTCTCTGGTCTGATCACGCGCTCGCTGCTTCTCCCTTCTCTTCTTTTAACACCCTGGGTTTAATTCAACTCCTCCTGCAGCTCTGCATATGCTACAGTAGCTTTTCTTTTTTTAAATGGCAAGTTAAGCTACAGTAAAGACTCCTTCTGAAATAATCATGTGGGGGGCTGCCGGGGGTGGGCACGGCCACAGCAGCACCCGGGGAGAGGCCGGGGTCGCCCCAAGGACCTCGGGTCTGGTTGGTGCTGCTTTGGGGTGCCAGGACTAACGCCCTGCAGCTGGGAGGAGGTGATGGTGTCCCGCATCACCTCCTCCCAGAGACGGGGGGCTCTGGCAGGAGCAAACAGCAAGAAACTAGGTTTGCCTCCTCAAACTGATTGTAATTTTGTGTTAGATTTTGCTTCTTGAGTGGGGAGGGAATGAGGAAAAATTTCCACTTCCTACTCGGCTTCTCATCTGTAATGGGAGAAGCGCCATGGTGCCCGGGCAGGGGATTCTCTTGGGGCGGTTCTGCCACCCCCGGCCGAGGGGTGAGGGACGGGGGAAATGCCAGAAGCTGCTCGTGTGGTGCCGGACAGATGATTGTGAACATCTGGAGACTTCCTGCTGCGTAAATAATCCAGTTTATTCTCTCTCTCCATAACATCACGTGCTGGCCGGGGAAGCGTGTTTCGTGGTGGGGTCCTGGCTCGGTGGGGCAGGCACCAGAGCTGGTAGGGAAATGCTTTTTTTTCCGCAATCCATGTTACAGAGTAATACTCCTAGAAGAATTGTTGCTGCACTACACTGCATATATTTGTGTTGGAACATACTGTGGTGTAATAGCTGGTTTGAAATGTATCCAGTTTTGCTGAATATATTATCGTGAAAGTCAGGCAAATGCACTGGGAGAATGCTAGCTCCTGTCAAACCAGAGAGCAGAAACACTCTGCAGAAACTGTGAAAATGAGAAGCGAGTTGGTACCAACTGCTCCTCTGCTGTTCTTGCACAGGGATGTTTGCAGGGGGCCGATGCTACAGGAAAACTCTGATCTGAGCCCTGCGTGGGGCCCGAGTGTCTGCACAGATCAAAAGGCAGCTCCAGCCCTGCCCGTGGGGCGGTTGGCATCGCCTGCCTTCCTGCAGCCCCCTCCTCGCAGCGGGCTGGGGCCCGGCGGGTCCCTGCTCCTGGCTGGACTGGGCTGGCGGGAGCAGGCAGGAGGTTTTGTCCCCGATGTCCCCTGGCTGGCAGGAGGGGGGAACTGGCTCTTCCTTCCCCCGGGTGGTATTTGCATCACCAGCTCCTTCCACCGCCCCCTTTCCAGCCAGGGCAGGCCTGGG